GAAGGAGTGGCTTTACAACAACTCTGTGACTGTTCTTGAATGGCCCAGCCAGAGCCCTGACTTAAACCCCATTGAGCATCTCTGGAGAGACCTGAAAATGGCTGTCCACCAACGTTTACCATCCAACCTGACAGCACTGGAGAGGATCTGCAAGGAGGAATGGCAGAGGATCCCCAAATGCAGGTGTGAAAAACTTGTTGCATCATTCCCAAAAAGACTCATGGCTGTATTAGCTCAAAAGGGTGCTTCTACTAAATACTGAGCAAAGGGTCTGAATACTTATGACCATGTGATATTTCAGTTTTTCTTTTTTAATAAATCTACAAAAATGTCAAATTCTGTGTTTTTCTGTCAATATGGGGTGCTGTGTGTACATTGAGGGGAAAAAATTAACTTAAATGATTTTAGCATATGGCTGCAATATAGCAATGAAAAATTGAAGGGGGTCTGAATACTTTCCATACCCACTGTGTGTGTGTGTGTATATATAAAAATAATAGTTTTTAAACAGTATAAATAGAAATATGAACCAAAGTTGGAACAGTCTATGTGACATCTGACACGCACATATGAACCAGACTAGGTCAGTCAAAAGAAGGTCTGATCAAAAAAGTGCCAAGAAAGTAATTATGTAAACTATTGATGGACTGGTTTTCTGCATGAACTGGTCATAAAATTATCTAATATAAACAAATTTGACATGAAGCAGACAAATAACTACATCCTGGGACTAGAACCCACACACTAAGACAGGCAGTACATTAAGGACAGATCTCAGGACATCCAAAGTCCAACAATCTAAATGGGCAAACAAAGCCAGATTTGGATGGGAGAAACAGGTCAACAACATAACAGGAAAATAGAGCTGAATCTTAGAAGGTAAAGGATGTTTTGTTTATGACAGTCTGGCAAGGAGTAAATGCTGGCTGAAATACAAACTGAGCAGTAACCAGCCACATTAAACCTGCCCAGCGTTTTTGTGTCTTGATATTTTTCTCTCTTCTATTGACTCACCCCAACCAGCTGAGGGAGATGTCTGCCCAAACTAGCTCAAACCTCCAATCTTCAGTAATTGGCTGGGCTCCAAGTTTACAAACTCCTGATTCCAATTAGCTTACACTTATTTCATTAATTGTGGGGTATTCCAAACTACATGGGGAATGTTTAAAGGACGGATTCAATATGGACCAGAAGAATACAATGATGTGTTTTTAAAATAAATAGCAGTCATAATTGTAACTTTAAAAAAGATCTGATCACATTTGCAAATTTATACATAAAGGTATTTCCAAAGCAAATCACTTACCTCTACTTGCCATTGTATGATTTAACAGTGTCACTATCAAGGTAATGCAGCATATTGGTTCAGCTTCTTAACTAGTCAGAGCACATACTGTACTTGCATATGGAGTGTACAAAATGATATGTAACAAAAATAATTGCACATCAGAACAAAAAACATGGCAAAACTGGCAACAGGACAATAACTGTTACACATCTAATGCACAACATTCAGCGTCATTGTTACATTTTTCTCCAACTGGGTATTTTCTCTCACATTTAAAGTTTCTACAATGGCTCTGACCCTAAAGGGTTTGATACAACTCAAATGTAAAATGGTAGTTTATCAATTTTAATTTTCTCTCCTACTTCAATACTAACCTGCCAAAAAAGTAAGATTTAAAATAAGACTTCATTATTAGTAATGTCAAGATTTGTTTTAAGCAATTGTCACTGGATACTGTATAGTAACCAACTTTTTTTCATGAATGAAATAACATCTGTGCAATATTTTGCATGGCAACACTTTAAACACGCTAAAAGGCAAATGCAGCCCTTTCTTTGCAGCTTCATGTTTTTATTTCTGTGGATAGATCTTAGATAATAATCACCGTGATTTGGCCAAGTATGTTACACAGGGAATTTGTTTCTGGTACAGAGCTGAGGCAGCCATCTGCCGCGCCAACTCATGCCGATGGCTCTAACCATCGGGGGCAACTTGGGGGTTCAGTGTCTTTCCCGGGGGCTCTGACATGTGGATTGGAGGCACAGAGATTCAAACCTCTGACCCTCCAGTTGGGAGAAAACTGCTCTACCCACTGAACCACAGTCTAAAGGAATATTAGAAAACACAATCTCATCAGAGAAGCTAATTGGGCCAGTAATTGCAACAGCAGAGAGAGCTGAAGAAAGTTAAGACAAAACAAAACCAGAAACACAGAGGCAGGAAGCAAAGAAAAAATATCACTGATTCTATGACAATATGATAAATACCTTAAGCTGTATTCACTCGAGTCTTGTCATGGAAGGTATTCAAATCCATTCACTACAATTGCTTATTCTTGTGGATTGCAGGGTGGAAGGAGCCAACCCTGTGTCAAAAACTTGACATAAACTCACTAGCTTGTTTTATTAAGCCTGAAACAATTTATACTTAGCCATTCTGCAATGAGCTTCACATCTATAGCTTTATCCTTGAGTCAGTTCATAGAATATAGTGTCTGTAAGATGACAGGTGTGGCTCCTCTTCTCCCAGCACTATAGTCTGACCATGGGGTCACTAAAATAAAACTTCACATACATGTGAGAGGTGATGTATTTTAACAGTACTATAAGCACTTTTCTTGCTTGATATTTTCAGTCCATTGTGAATTTTACCACCCTGGAGGATCAATGCATGCTGGTATTCATTCTTCCATCTCTTCTCCTGTTTTATTGTATGGGCACATAAGCATGCAAGCATAGGAACAATTACTGGTGATGGTTTGATCACTGGCTCCTCCCGTCTGTATGTTCAAGTGGCTTAGAGAGGTACACTAAACCCTAAGGTGCTCTTTGTATGTATATATACACACACAAAAAAGCTGGCATGCTGTAATTGTCACTTTTACAACTGGGGAACATGTCAATGTCAAAGTATGATGAGACAGCTCAATTATTGTTAATCCTGTTCCACGTGGAAGCTAAACTCATTGCTAGTGCTACGGTATATACAGCAACACCAGTACCAAAGATACACCAGTTACAGGCTCTTAACCTGCAGTTCACAAAACACCAGAAACTCCCTGCCTCCCTCAGGCGTAGCGAGGATCTGCAATAGTCAGTGATACCCGTTGGAGGAAGGCCGGCTGTTGGTAGCAAGGAGTCCGTGATGTCTCAATGAAAATTGTGGAGGTGGGTAGGCTTTTGTGGTCTTTCTTGACAATGTGTCTTTTCTGCCAACGACACAGTAAGAGTTCCACCTGCTCTCTGAAGAAGCTGGTGGTTAACGTGTATAGAATGGGGTTCAAGGCACTGTTGATAGGAAGGATGAAGATGACTACCCAGCTGGAGATGGTGCCTGAGAGAGGCAAGTTGTCAACATTTAAGCAGAATATGCCTGTGGTTGTCTTATGATGCTATTCCCTATATAAATAGTTCAGACAGCAGAAAGTCGTGCGACATGTTTACTTGTTCATTAATAACATGTTACAGTAATTATCTGAATATGTATAAGGTAAATGCAACCAAAAACACAGGGTACCATTTCATTTCTTACCAGGAATCTCCACCTCCAGGAGTGAGAGGATTTTCACTATAAATATGGGAATCCAGCAGAGGGCATCAGAGAACACTATGAAGAAAAACCTGTTGGCCACAGCCACGTCTTTGTGCAGTCTGCCCCTCAACTCTGTCGCATTGATGCCAGTTTTATAGATGGAGCAGAACATACTGGAGTAGGAGAAGATGATCACCAGGATTGCCATTTTTTTAAGAAATGCATAAAATATTCAAATACATACAACGCATATGGCAAGTTCTTATAGGCTTTCCACATTATTAGGTTCCAGAATCTTAAAATGGAGTTTGCAATGAAAGTGAAAATGGTTTGAGTTTTAATATATTAACAATAAAACACTGAAATATTCTTTTACGCAAGTATTCAGACCCTTCCTGACACTTGCAACTGAGCTCTGGTGTATTCTTTTCCTATCAGTGGTGCTTGAGATGCATCTACAGCTTGATTAGCGTCCATATGCACCTAATTTAATGCGTTGGATAGAATTATGAAAGGCACACACCTGTCTATATAAGGTCACATAGCTGATGCATGTCAGCATGAAAACAAAAGCCATGAGGTTGAGAGAATTGGCTGTAGACCTGCAAGACAGGATTGTATCAAGAGACACATCTGAGGAAGGACACAGGGAAAATAAAATCCTGCAGCATTTAAAGTGCCCAAGAGTACAGTATCCTCCATTCTCAAATGAAAGAGATTTGGAGCCACAGCAGTCAGAGGGCCTTGGTCAGACAGGTAGCTGAGAACCCCAGGACACATGACAAGCCCACTAGGACAACTCGTGACCCTGAGAAGCCAAATTTTTTTTTTTTTTTTTTTAATCATGAAAAAGAGATTAAACTATTTGGCCACAGTTCCAAAAAGCATGTGTGGAGAAAACCAGGCATTGAGCATCACCTCATTAATACCATCCCTAAAGTCAAACACGATGGTGGCAGCATCATGCTGTGAGGATGTTTTTCTGCATCTGGGAGACTAACCAGGATAGAGAGAAGGCTAGATGCAGAAAAATAGAGCAATTCTGAATAAAAACCTTCTTCATATTTCAACAAGACAACATCCTGAAGAATAAAGAAAACACAGTAAGTGCTTTGGGAGAACTCTGTCCAAGTTCTGGAGTGGCTCAGCCAGAGTCTGGGCCTGAACCCAACAGAGCATCTCTGGAGAGACCTGATAATGGCTGTGCTCGGACGCTCCACATCCAGCCTCGCTGACCCTGAATGATTCTGCCAAGAAGAATGGAAGAAAATTCCAAAAGAAAGGTGCGCTAACCTTGCAGCTTCATTCTGAAGAAGACTTGAGACTGTTACAGCTGTCAAAAGCATTTTAACCAAGTACTAAGTGAAGGATCTGAATACTTATGTAAATCTATATTTCAGTCTTATTTTTAACACATTAAAAAAAAACTCAAATGAAAAATAGTGCCACTCTTGAATTAGTTGACAGTGTTGTGATTGTAAACTCTTAGTGACACAAATGCCAGTGACCTTTGAGACAGGATCACTACACTTCATTCATCACTATTGAGGGTCCTCAGTAAGAACAAATTAGAATCCAGACTAAATCATGCATTGTTGACAGAGCCATGGTGTTTGCTGTATAATAGCCCAATCTAAGGTGCAGTGCTGTGAGTTAGCACACCATGACAGTGTGCAACACCACCACTTTAAATGGGATCAGTTTACTTTTGGAACTTTCAAGATTGAAAGAAAAAAAAAAACTGCTTCATTTTCATCTGTACGTCTTTATACACAGGTTAAACAATTTTTCTTTTGCTTATTTGATTTTAAATTCTGTATTTATTGACAGTGTGTGTATAATTAAGCACTATTTCTTTATCATTTACCCAGAAAGATTCCTGTGGAATATCCTTTGGCGGTAGGTTTTTCTTGCTTGTCAGAGTGCAGGGGAAAGCAGACCCCATTACGCCCATAGTAGTTTCCGAACACATCCTCATTCATTAGGGGCACAGCAGCAATAATGAACCCCAGCAGCCAGATAGAAGCCAGAACCACCTTGCAGCAGGACAACAAACATGCTGTTAGGATTTCTAGCAGTGTACTCTTTAAAAGCTCACATTCAAGACTAATATAAGCAAATCATAATCATTCAATTCACTGAATTTCCACACAATGACATTTACTAGCACTGCAAACCTTTTCTTTAGTCTACTGATTGACGCCAACTCCGTTTGGCATCACTGAGAAAGCAAACAGTAGGTGGCAGAACTTTCTCAGAGAGCGGACAGATCCTCTCGCAGTCAGATGCAGGAACATTTCAAGCAAATTCTTATGCAGTTACATTTGGGTAAGCACACTTTGTTATTTGGGGACGCTCTCAAAGAATCCAAGCAGCAATGAGAAATTGGCTGAATAACTAATCCCCCATAATGAATACCAACATTATATCAGACTTAAATCAACAGTAATTATTATATAGCACATAAAAAGGAGGCTGGGGTAGAGAAGGAAGATGCAGCAGGAAAAAAACAAAAAACCTACAAAAAAAAACAAAAAACTACAAAACCAAACTGGAACAGTATGCCGTCAACATATATTAATACTCTGATATTTACTTTATCATTTGTAAGTTTTTCAACACCATGCATAAAAAGGATCCAATCAAACCAAAGCAAAAACACATTCTTTTCATGTATTTATAGTACGCTCACCCCTGTCTGAAGTTTGCCTGGACGCAAATTGCTGAAGGGAAAGACAATAACCAGGAACTTTTCCAGAGTCAGGTAGGTCAGGAGGAGAACAGAGACCTGAGGGAAAACATAAGCTTCAAACTTATCAACTTTTTTACTGTCCAGATAGACAGACTTGAGTTTAGCTCAAGCTAATATGAAAATGTCAGATAAATTATCACAGTAACAGATCACAGTAACAATCTGCTTTCTTGTCACAGTAAGATTCTCACTGTGAGAAAATGAAGGATGAGCTAGGACTAACTGAAAATTATATCTCCTTGGTGCACGCAGGTGCTTTTGTTGAAACAAAGATCATCTCATTGCAAAACCATGTTCATGAACGCCGTCTTTAACATTAAACAGCAGCCAAACATGATTAATAGGTAATGTAGGAAGTCAGCTGGCATGGTCCATTAATCAGTGCTCAGCAAAACACTTGTTTTATTGATCAGATACTGTGTAAATCCACTGTGTGCAATCTATACATGCCATTGAAGGTTAAGGTTGCACCTGATCAATAAGACACAACAGATCCACATTAAATAACACTTTTTTTGTCAATGTCATTATAAGAGTCAGTATTTTATCATTCCAGTGAATTCTGCACACATCAGGATCAGTGATTTAAAAATAATATATAGAACCATGATACTGGATCGGTTCCTGTCTTCCTGAAGCACACAGCACAGCATTATAAGCAGAAATGAATGATAATCAATTCTCCTTAGAAAAAACTAGAATCAGAGCCTAGAACTAAGTTGCATGTTGACAAAATGCCAGAAGCAATAGCTGATATGGGATCAGCAAATTAGCAGAGTTTCAAGGTGTGTTAATGTGCAACTGACACCTTGAAAAGAACAGATGTGTCTTGGATATGCACTGCTGTAAATACAGCAGAATAGCAAGTGTCTTTGTCTGCATGCATGTTAGTGTATGTGCATCTCTACTGTGCTACCTCCGAGGAGAGCATGGCCAAGAATCCAATGGTTCGACACTCCACGCTCTCCATCCAGAGCAAGGCATGACGATTGTACTGGCTGCGAAATTTGACGTCAAACACTCCAACAAAAAACAGGTACACACCCATGAGGCAGTCTGCACCTGGACGATAAGACATTGTAACATATGAGAAGTGCTCTCTGTGGTCCCTCTGTCAGCTGCTGGTTCTTTCTTCAGTAAATATTTCTTAATAAGTGCACACAAAAATACATTATTGCATGTCCCCAGGCAAGAATAACCATTGGGTTGGGAAACACGTATGTATGCCGTGTCTGATGTGTGAGGTTAATTTAAAACCTAAGGATGCCTCAGTGACTCCGTTTTTAAAGTTATTCCTGCTAAACTGAAAATTGCACAATATGGATTAAAAATTAGACAAAGTTATATGTTAAACCATTACCTCTTTTTTATTGTAAGGACTCAAGGGACTGTATTTTTTGAAATGGTAAAGCTGGGAGCAGAGCAAGGGAAGTGAGGACAAGTGGGTAAACAAAACTGAAGAGGAGGAAGAAATTTGCACAAAGAGTGTGAGTCAGAGGTTGGCAAGGTTTATACTGCATGGGAAAAAAGCTGCCACAAAAAAACCTAAAAACTGAGAATGAGACAGAAGGGAGGAAATAAATGGTGCTTGATAGAGAAAACTCAAACAAGGTATAGGGATTTAAAGAAATATAAGCCTTCTTAAATGCATTTCCATCCCTGAAAATAAAACGGAAAATACTCACATAGGGTCACTGTGACACTTTGTCTTTATACAACGTATAACATTAGCAGACCTGATGCATTCACTGTAAAATCAACCAGTGTTTTGTTTGCTACTACTCTGCTTCACCTGTTGCCATTAGGTGTGTTGCTTTTTCCAAAGCTCCCATGGTTTGCTGTGGAAGGGCACTTCCTAAGAAGGCACAGAACTGTTAAAGTCAAAAACTCTGCACAACCCCAGGGTGTAAAGCAAGAGTCTTCAGCAGATGATTTCTATAGGTTTTCTATTGTAGACAAGTGCGGTTGACAATCCCCACTGGTCTCTGCCATTCTGTCAGCTTTTAAAGACTATTCCTGAGTGTAGAGCAGACTTCCTTTTAACAGTACTTGGCTCAAAACTTGACAACCAGACTGAAGTACCATTATGTTTTTACTTCATCATTCACTGAAATACCATTTCCTAATTGTTATTCCTATTTTCTGTCATATTCCATATGTACTGTTTCATTCTTTTCCTAACACTCTTCCTTTACAGCCAGATCCTAATGTACACCTATTCAAGTATGTGTCAGTAAATGACATTTATTTATTAATTTATTTATTTTAGTTAAAGGTGCATGGAAGTATGTGGGTACTCACAGCAAAGGACTTTGATGCAGGCGGCATGCAGGTTGTTCTCAGCTCGAATCACCGATCTCATACCGATGACTAAGAGGTTACCAAAGCAGGTAATGAAGGCTATGACCCAGACAGACACCCGTAGCACTATGTTGGCCAGCAGGTCCTCAAAAGATGAGATGCCATCTGTGTTGGGCTTACAAGACCTGACATGAGGTGCATAGGAGCAGTACTGGAACTTCTTAAAGTATCTGAGAGAGAAAGGGAGCACATAAAAAAAGGTAGTAGCAGAAGGGCAGAAAGAGAAAGCAAAGAAGATGAGCAATGACATACAGGGAGGAGAGACAAAAAGAGACGCTTGGTTATTTAGTGATGACAGATGTACATAAAACTTGATTCATATGAGGGGTTGTACGTACATGTGGGAAAGATTCACCATAGCTAGAAACATCTTCGTTTGAATATCTGGAATCTCAATTCCTTCCAGTGCCCTACAGAAAGCAGAGCATATTTCACCACCACACTGCTGCAGCAAGTAGTTTGTGTGTATTTTTTTACTCACAGAGACTGAAGATGTGTCAGGTGGTTGAAGTGGCTGGGGTGAATGTGGAGAAGGGGATTATGGGAGATATTTCTGCAACAAAAAATGGATGACAGATTTTTAAAATTTTCCATAGGCACAACATCCTAAATGATTCCAAATCCAAAATATCTTTCCAGAAGCAGGTGTGGGCAATAATTATGCCACTGGGAAATGGTATTTATAGTACATTATTAGAAAACAAGTTGCTTCACATGACTATAAATAGTGGTGAAATAAAGAAAAATCACTAGTTCAACAGCAAAGAAACCTTTCTACTATTGGGAATACTTTGCCAATATACAGTAACCACCTTTCCTTCCTAACACTTGTATTGCCCTTTATCTTCATGGAGTTTGTCAGATTTTTTTATGCAGTTGCAGCCAATTTTAGCTTTAGCAGCCAAGACAGATGCAAACAGGCTGTTCATAGTCTGTTACTTTCCTGGGCTGTAAATATTCCTCTTTCAATCGTTCAAATCAGGCTGAGCCAGGGGACCAAGTCATCATTTTATTTTCTTTGAACTCTTGCCTGGCTAGCCCACATATGGTGTACTTGGAGGCATCATTTTGCATCATGGACCTTTTGAATCTGCAGTGGACTGTTGTGGTACCGCTGCATGAAGAAGGTAGCCTTCACTAAGTGGCAGTCGTCGTTTTTGGAGGCCATTTTTTTTT